CTCTTTCTTGGGATGCATTGGTCCTGAGCTTAGAGGAGGTGATCCTTGAACAGTAACCAGCTTTCTTGGGCCCCTCTTCCTTCCAGGGCTTTGTCCCATTGTACTCTACCAAGCAGGTGCATGAAGAGGCCAAAGTCTGCTCTCCTGAAGTCCAGGGTAGTGAGCTTGCTGTGCCCCCTCCTCACTTCCCTAAGGATCTTGAACTCAACCATTTCATGGTAGCTGCAGCCAAGGCTGCCCTTGAGCTTCACAGTCCCCACAGCCCCTCCTTGTTGGTGAGAACAAGGTCTAGTACGGCACCTCTCCTCGTTGGCTCCTCTATCACTTGGAGAAGGAAGTTATCATCAACACATTCCAGGAACCTCCTGTATTGCTTATGCCCTGCTGTGTTGTCCCTCCAACAGGTATGAGGGTGGCTGAAGTCCTCCATGAGGACCAGGGCTTGTGAAGGTAAGGCTGCTCCTATCTGTCCACTCGGTCTTCCTGGTTGGGTGCCCTGTAGCAGACCCCACTACAGTGTCACCATTTCTATGCTTCTACTTACAATGACGACTACATTCCTACATCTATCAATGCCAAGAGCAAAAACTCTCAGTTACCCTTGTTCCCTGGAGCCCTGTAGTTCATTATACAATGCAAGCAGAAGAGGATCCCAAAATCTACAGTAAAGAACTGTGGAAGGATCATCTAGATTCAAAAGTCTTTAATGTCTATAAAGAGACCCATACAGAACACATGAGAAAGAGTCATGCATAGATATGAAAATATAAGCACTCTGCACTCAGAGCATCCACTCTAAGAATTATAGAAAGTGAGAGGTAATAGGTGATTAAGGAGAATAAAATAATACAATACCAAAAAACCCACACACAAAGCTAATGTGAATGAGGCTCAGACGACAAAATTACTACACCTGGGATTGAGATGACACGAAAAGAACACAGCAGAATAGTACCAGGTTACAGTTCAAACGCAGCTGACTACAGGGGATGAGAAATGAGACATCTGGGTGCAACAAATGAGAACAGTACAGAAACCAAGACAGAGGAAGGTTAAAGAAGGGTATCATGATCTGAGTGAAAGAAAAAATATCAGTGTGTGGAGAAGGAATGCACTTCTTACTACAAGGAAGGAAGAGAGGGTTGTTTCTTCAAAAAAAAGGGAGGAGGTGGCAAGAAAAGGGCAGAAAGGTGGCACAGGCCAGGGAAATAACACAGGCATTTCCATATTTCAAAGAGAACCATAGAAAGGAGGGATGAAATAGCAGTAATTACAACAAAAAAATATTTTAGGACGTTGGACAAACTGAAATGGAGAAGGCAGGAAATGTAGGGATATGGAAATAAAAAGCAGGTAAGAATAATCTAGAAATCAAAATAACCAAACCATTAGCTAATATGTCAGAAGTGTGGAAAGGAGGATGGATTTTAGATATGTTGCATATATAAAAATGACAAGATTTGATATGGCTCAGGAGAGCAAGTAGGAAGGAAGCATGATAGCCTCCAGAACTGTGTGTGAGGCTATAGGAAATGGGGACGGTAGCAAAATTTCCTGTGGCTGGAGGAAATTAGACTACTGGTGTCTGGAGTGGAGAGGAAGACGATTTGTGCTTAGCTAAATTATACTTGAAGATACACTGACGAAGAAAACGAACAAGCAGGAAGGAAAACAGACAGTGTGAAAGAGATCAAGGACTGGATAGCTAGAACAAGCAAATGAAGACAGGTAGGGCAGATTTGAGAAACAGAGGAGAGACATGGAAGGAGGAAGGATGAAATATTTGCTAATGCTAACACTAAAAGCGTGGCAATATGTGGGATTGGAAACAGTGAAAGAAAAAAGTTGGAATATTTATTAGGAAGAAGATGGTGGGTATAAGCCTCTGTGGCCACAGTAACATCAAGAGTTATAAGAAAAGAGATGCCATCTTAGAAAGTGACATAATGGAAACAGTAAAACTGTATTTTATTTCTAAAGTATATATAAGGAAGGAAAACAAATGAAAGGCAGTCAAATAATACATGACATAAAAACTGAAACACTCAACTGTATTTTTTGCATAAACAAAGCGCTAACTGAGACTTCATACAAATAAAGCGAACAACTGGGCAGGAATACAAGCCAGAAAAGGGAAATAAGAAGATATAGAGTATTGGATAAATTACATTCAAGTCAACAAGGCTTTATGAAATTCACTATAGCATACCCATAGATATCTCTAAACCACTAACTAAAACAGTGGGCCTGGTGAAGGACATAGCCCAAAACAGATGTCAAGGACTTCTTACAAAGAATGTCTCATAAACAAAGAGAATGAATTAAGTGTGACGCCACAGTGCTCTACCTTATATTAGCATCTTCCAATAGTTTAGGAAGAGCTGAAATAGTTCAGTAATAACATTGCTTGTTCATGGAACCAAGGCAAGACGCATTTCAAGAGCTTTGGGGAACAAGACATGAATTCTGAATGCTTAATAAACTGTGGAAATAGTAAGATAAATTCAGTAGAGAAAAGAAAGTAATTATTAGGACCTACCCTCAGACATTAACACAGTGTAAAATATAATGGGATAGGCACACAAATGGGAACACAAACTAAAAAAATTGAAAAATAATGCCCTCAGAAAAGCCAAATAATCCTGGGATTAGTAATAGACATGCCAGCTAGAATAGTTATTCTGTTCTACTTGGCACCAGCAAAATTTCAGTTCTGGACACCATAATACAAAAGATGCAAACAAACTGCAGAAAAAAACAACCAACAAAACTACAAAGGACCCAAAAAGTAATAAAACCTTAGAAAGCATGATCCATGACAAAAGGTTGAAAGACTTAAAAAGAAGAGATGGAGGAGAGATGCAACAACCTTCCAATAAACTAGTTTGTTGCAATAAGAATAGTCAAACCGTTCTCCAAACCTACCCAGTAAAACAAGGAGTGAGCTATTTTGAAAACAAGGAACTCAAGATTAGAAAAAAATGCTTTTAATAAATACTTAACTTCTATGAAGGACTTCTATGAAGCTTATTTAAGCTATAAAATCCTTGTCATTAATGCTCAATTTTAGAAAGAAATTACATTAAGAAATGTTTGGAATCCATAGTAGATGTAGGGCAAACTTAATGCTATTTTAAAATCAGAAGAAGTAATATATAACTCACAGAAACTTCCTCAAGACCTACATATTTGCAATGCCACTGGAAGTTTCCCATTTATTTGTTTTTTTAGTTTTACATTAAAAAGCCAAAAATGTTTCAGGTTTTCTGTATTAATTGTAAGGAAATAATGTTAAGCTCAAAGGTTAAACTCAAGTTTCTAAAACAAAAATTGACATTTGTAGGAATATTTTGCGTTTTCACTTTTCTAATGTATGTCAGGAAAATTTCAAGCAATCATATGGATTATATCCCTAAAGGTATTTATTAAAAAAACCTTCCTTTTTTCTTAAACACTTATGTTACAATCTCAGCATTTATAGTGTTTGAGGTTTCGTTCCAACAGAGGTAACTTTTCCATTTGCTTTTACAAATGTATCACATACCTAGGGATAACCTCTTTAAGAGTGCTGGAATGCTGTAAAGTGAAGTTAAATACACAATTTTAGTTGAGCAATAAATGTCACCTTATTTTATTACTCTGTTCATGTTAGCGTAAAAGAGTCATCTATGACCACCCAGCTAATAATGTATGAAAGCAATGATGTGTCACAGAAGCAGTTTTGACACGAGTAGACAGAGCTTTTAAAATGGCATTTTACTCTCTCTTTCTAAGTACACTCCATTCTCAAAGAAATCATAAAGCTGCATTTGATTTCAGCACCTCGAAAGACTGCTATGAGCAGCACAAATATACTCACCTGTTCCGTCATCTACATTCTCTACTTCCATCACTTCTGTGTTTATTCTGCCCCGAAAAAGGTAACGGTGGCCATCTGTAGATGCTTTGCTGTTCTTCAATCGCCTGATAAAAGGAAGAGCAGATGAGCATGTCATCCACCACCTTTTTCTATGTTTCTGCACTGCTTTCTGTACATGTAGCATTTAAAGAGTACTGTAAGAGTCACAACACATTTATACATGTGCAGTTGAACTGTGGAAACCATTGCTGAATGGGACATTGCTGATGCTAAAGCAAAGATGCTACCTCCTACTCTGGTAACAGTAGGCTGCAAATCGCTGGCTGACATGAGAGTTTATCAGGAAAGTCTCACTCTGTAAAAGCTCTGCTCCAACGCTTTGGTACCTATATGCTACTGTCTGCCATCAAAGACAAAATATTGGGTGGATCTCTCCTCCTCACTGATGTAGCCTCCTTATGCTAGCCAAGAAATTCAACACAAGGGCAGCATGACCAAAAAAAATGAAACACCTTTGGATATAAATCTTGACCTACACACATTAGCCTCATAAATGGGATTTATGCATGGAAGAATGAAGATGGCATTTTTCCTTCCTCACATATGGGTTAACGAAGAATTATAATTAAGAATTGCTGAGTTTTTTTAACAGTTTCACAGTGATATATTCCAAAGCACTTTGCTTTGCTATAACTCTGTTCTCAGTGAAGTCAAGGCCTTTCGAGAATCCAGTTCTAGGCAGCTTTTCCCACCTCACATAAGCCAGAGATGATTTTCTGTTCATTTCTGCCAATAATGATAATTTATACTGTATATCAAACAAAGGTCAGTTCCTGAGAATTAATGATCATCTGAATTCTGACCTTCACTCCCTCCAGAGAGGTACTGTTCTTCAGAAAATGACCTGCCTCTCAATCATTACTGTCTGGCAAGTAACTCTACTATACTGTAAGTTTCTTATTCAAAAACTGAATAGTATATTTAAAAAAAAAAACAAAACCAAAAAATATATACTTATGAACCCATATTTAGCAATCCACTTTTGTACAATTCCACAGCAAAACAATGTTTAAAAATTACATAAAATATATCATAGCATAAAAATAGGACAATTTTTGTAAAATTTCCGAATTATAAACCTCCTGAGAGCAACATTCTCTTTACGTACTTTCCAGTCAATACCTGAAGTATCTTGCTGGCATATAATCCACTTCCCACCATCAACTCTGAAACGATGTTCTAAATTGAGTTACTCTTATGTCTGCAGAGACGTCACCATGGTACCAGCCAATGATACGTAGGACATGATTGCTCAAAACTAAAGAAATCATAGACCTTTCATGTGTTTTGAGATTTTCATCCAATAGTGCATTTTAGCTAGAATATGGCTACAAAAATATGTAATTTATTGGTGAACAAGTGAAAAGATACTTTGTAATCAGAAATATAATTGCAATTGCCAGACAACAAAATACAGCAAAAATTAGAAATTTTGAAAAGAGTGAGTTTATATTTACCCAGTCTACATAAAAATGAAACTGAGCAGTTGCAGAAGGATATCCTTGAAATATATTCAATATTCAACACTAGATATAATCACAAGGTTCTTAAATGGTTCATACTCATCTGTTCCAGAAGTTCTGCAACCTAAGCAAGAGTTGAAACTTAAAAACAAAGGCCTGATTACTATAGCTAGGTGAGTACAAACTACCTATCTTCTCACATGTAAATGCTTCCCTGTTAACAGAGTAATATATAGGAGGAAACAATATTCACTGGAGAAGATTTTTAAACTTTCCTCAGGGTTAGCCTGCAGCTTCTTCAGCAGTAACCCACTGGAAAAAACAGCATTTCCAGTCCAGTCTGAATAAGGTTCTTGCAGAACACGCTCAGCATCTTTACAATACAGAGAGGTTCTTATAAGGCATTCTTCATCAGTAGGGTCCATGGCTACTTTCCACTACTACCACTTTCTATACCACACACTGATGAGTCTAACCATCCACACATATTGGTTCAGCAAGACGCTCTACAGGTGCTACAGTGAATCTAACCACCAGTCTATCATAGAACTATTTAGGGTGGAAAAGACCCTTAAGATCATCAACTCCAACCATTAACCTAGCACTGACAAGTCCACCACTAAACCATGTCCCTAAGCACCACATCTACATGTCTTTTAAAATCCCGCCAGGGATGGTGACTCAACCACTTCTCTGGGCAGCCTGTTCCAATGCTTGACAGCCCTTTTGGTGAAAAAAATTTTCCTAATACCCAATCTAAAACCTCCCCTGGTGCAATTGAGGCCATTTCCTCTCATCCTATCACTCATTAATTGGGAGAAGAGACCAACAGCCACCTGGCTACAACCTCCTTTCAGGGACTTGTAGAGAGTGATAAGGTCTTCTCTCAGCCTCCTATTCTCCAAACTAAACAACCCCAGTTCCCTCAGCCGCTTATCATGAAATTTGTTTTCTAGATCCTTCACCAGCTTTGTTGCCCTTCTCTGGACACACTCCAGCACCTCAATGCCTTTCTGGTAGTGAGGGGCCCAAACCTGAACACAGCACTCAAGGTGTGGCCTCACCAGTACCGAGTACAAGGGGACAATCACTTCCCTATAATTAGCACAGGAGGAGAGAAAAGGGATATTCATCCTCTAGCAACTTGTTCTTATGTATGACAAAATAAATATGAGTATAAACTTATTTGGCAAAAGAATTTTAAAATATTTAAAGTAATACTCTTCAACGATGAATCCTATGCAAACACTGATGTGAAAAATATCATTCATAAACTATATAAAACAGCAGACAACAAGGGTTGCTAATAAGATTTTAAAGCCTCAATTAAAAATTGGTCTCAGATTCATGCATTTATATGCATAAATTTCCATTTACTTTGCTGATTGTAGTTGCATATATACATCTAAGGTTATAACTATACTACACAACACATAGATATTATGGTACACATATATATTAGTTCTGGTCTCTATTATCCAACCCTTTGATCTCCTTCCCTCTCATCCATCCCCACCAAGAATGGGTAGCAAAAAGAGGATGAAGAGCACTCACTATTCCCCAGACACAGCTAAAGCAATGGGGGAGGAGGAAATCATGACATCAGGCTGCCCGATCAGCCTTTCCATCCTACAGTTGATGGTTCTGGGTGCTCCCACATGTTGGACTGCATGGCCAACTACCTTCACCTGGATGCACCAAGCATACATTTTGCTATTTACATTGCATTTGTCCATCCTCTCATGTACAACCTTCAAAAGCAGCTGGGCGAGGATCCATCCTTTAACAGGTACATGACCGCTGCCAAGCCAGAGCACTCCTCAAAACAAATGGGTATAACAGGTGCAGAGAAAGACATCTTTCACCTGGATGCTACAGACAATCCAGGCACTGGTAAAAGATAGTTGGAAAAACGGGATGAAAGTTGGCTATCAAATCTGGAACTACCCTTGAAAATCTTACAGCACTCACACTGATCTGACAGACACAGCTGTGGTGACGAAAGTAGAACTTGGATTTATGAGGCAACAGTTTCAGCAGCTGTAGACAGTTTCCTTGACTGGACACTGAGGTTGACGGTGGAGTTTCCTCTGACACCATCCACAAGTGTGCAGAGGCAGAGGCAAAGATAATGGTATTCGTCAGTGCTATTAGCAAGCATGCTCAAGGTCTGTCATGTATCTATGAATCTATCAAGGATCTATCTGGTAATATGTATTCAGCAGCTACTCAAAAATAGTTTCTGGATCAAAGAGACAAACTTAAGTAGTTTCAAGAGGGATGCCTGTACGTAGAACTCTTCTTTCTCAGAAGCAAAATAGCACCAAACATTAACTGCAGAAGCTTGTTGCTGAACTAAGGAATTGCTCTTTGCAATGCAGCAAGCAGAAGCTTTCTGGCTGTGTTCCCTGATTAGAAATACAAGGCTTGAAACTCTTCAATCTGTAGAGACTTATTTTATAGCATAAGCTACAATACTAACTTGCTTGAAGTAAAAATCCAGTCTGTTTACCCTTCCTAGAAGAGAGTGAGACCATCACATACAACCTGTTGTAGAAGACTGACAAAACAGATTCTTTCTCCCCGCACTTCACCATTTGGATTCCGCATTTTTGTAAAATTTTCCCAATGTTTAGATGAATTCCCTTTGGATGATAGGTCTGCTTTAAAAATGCTGACTTTCATATTGCAATTACCTGCAGGAAATGCTTTGGTGGTGGTGTTCAAATATTCTTATGAAACAGCATACAGGGGATTAGCTCTACTGTGAGAAAAATACATTATTTTTGAAAGTATAAATTAATCATTTACCTGTGCTTTTTTTTGCAGTAGACCAAAAGGTTATCAAAAAGAAAAAATATCCTCTCTTGGATATTAACTGAAATTTTCAGTAGTAGTCCACTTCGCAGCATTTCTGTGCATGTATCTGTGATGTTTGACCCCTAAAATCAATTGGAAAGAGATTAATTTTTATTCTGTGAGAACTGAAGGACTCTTCAACAATTAAGGAAAAGTTTCTTACACAAACTCACAACCACAATGATTCTCTGAAAACACCAAGGATCAAACTAACTTTCATTTATTACATCGTAATTAATTAATAATTTCTAACGATGCTTAAGACCAGCTTTGCATTTATTTAGTATTGCCACTAACTGGGGGAGGGGGGGAGGGCAAAGGTTTGTGGCTTTTTTGAATGGATAAAGTTTAATTGCTAAAATTTCCACATTATATTACATCTATGCATGAGATCTCTCCCAAAAAATCAGGCTAACTTTATACAATAACTCTTATCCTCAGTAACTTGGGAATTGTCTGAAATGTCTGAAAATGGGGCTTTACAAGACATAATCTATGCCAAGATGAACTTGGAAGCTGAAGCAGCCAGGAACCTGAACATTAAGGGTATATACTTCTACACTAAATTAACCTAAACACAAAATCAAAATAAAAAATCAGCAAGATTTAAAACTCAGGCAAAGCTAATAGCGGCACGTACAACTAAGACTTTCTAGTATACTTCCTCCTTACATACTCTGAAGACATCAGAATTTTGCCAAGCTGTAAATGGCTGGGATGAA